TTGTAAAAAAACTGGGTACACATAGTACTATGTGTCCCCAGTTATGAATGAACAGGAAGTGCTTTACATCACTTCTGTCACAACATCTGGAAATCCGTGCCGGATTTTCGCTTTGCTCTCTGGTTCTGGGCTGTCAGCCTATGGTGTCTCACAAGGCTGCAGCCAATCTGCTCTCCTCCTCCCCTATTTAGGACTTCCTCACTTGTTGCTCTTTGTGCGAGCAACAAGTCTTATGCCTTGTTCCGTACCCCTTGTGGCTCTAACTATCCCTGGGATCTTAGTCCCTGCGCTTATTATTAAATTATGTTTTTCTTTTTAGGTACGTATTGAGTCTATCTTGAAAAAAATCTAGCAACAGCTTTGTTGCAAAGGTAATGTCAACTTGGACAAGGTGACCAATGACTTTGAAAAGTGAATAATAGAGTTAGAGTTTAAGTTATGGTTAATGTTTGGATTACCTTTAAATTTAGCTTTAGGCTTAAGGTTGCCTATTTTTTTTTATTTTTTTACAGCAGATTTTGCCTAGGCAGTCCCCATGGTGATGTTCATTAAATGACATTTATGCAAAATATGTAATTTTGTTATGAAACCAAATTTGACAAAATTTCTCATTCGGTTTTAGTAAAGGTCCATTTTTCTGCATTACCAGAACACTGGCTAGAGAAAGGCTTGACGCTTGTGTTTGATGGGCCCTGCCCTGAATTTATTGTTTGTTCAGAGGACGGTCAAATCAAAGCCATTCCTGATGGCAGAAAACCTGAAGAAGTGAGTGAGTAGTCCTTTTGGGGTATTGAATTACTAAGCCAAATATATTCCAGTCATGGTACCTGTTAGTAATCTTCTGCAACAAGGAACTTGGAAGACAGATCCATGGAAGTGAGCTGCCACTGAATTTAAAGAGATTTCTCCCTTTAGCCTTAAATATCTTGTAACCCAAGTTATTGCTGATAGAAGCTCTATGGGATTCGGGTTTTAGATTAGAAACAGCATGCAACACACAAAAAGGCCTGTGTACGGTAATTGATAAGTAGGTAGAATATATGTTCTCCTTATGGCAAGTTTGCCCTTTGCAACTCCAAATTGCATTGCAGTCCATCTTTTTAAAGCTATTGGATATTTCCAAAAGGTTGCTGCACCCAGTGTTCCCCTCCTCCCCATTTCTGCACCCAATATGCTCCTCCTCCCCTGTTCTGCACTCAGTATTCCTCTTCTCCCTTGGTATGCTCTATGTTCCCTACTCTGTCCCCAGTATGCTCCTCATCCCCTGGTAGCCCCTTCCTTCCTATTTCTGCACGCGGTTTTCTCCTCCTCCCCTTTTTTTGCACATGGGATGCCCTTATTCCCCTTCATGCACCTGGTATGCTCCTCCTCCTTTTTGCATGCGGTATGCCCCTCCCCATTCTTTCTGCACCCAGTATGCCACTCCTCCCCTTTCTGCTCCTGCTATGCACCTTCTCTCCTGTTCTGCACCCAGTATGCCCCTCCTTCCCAATTTTTTGATTTGGTATGCCCCTCCTCCCCTATTCTGCACTTGGTATGCCTCCTCTTTCCCCTTCTAAATCCCATATGTCCCTTCTCCCCTGTTTTGCAGCCAGTGTTCCCTTCCTCCTCTGTTTTGCAGCCAGTGTTCCCTTCCTCCTCTGTTCTGCACCCATTCTGTCGCTTCCCCCCTTTCTGCACACAGTATGCCCCTCCTCCCCTGTTCAGCATCCAGTATGCTTCTCTTACCCTTTTTTTGCACAAGGTATGCCCCTCCTCCCCTATTCAGCACCATGTATGCATCTTCTCCCTCTTTCTGCACCAGTATGCCCCTCCTCCCCTTTCTACACCCAATATTCCACTCCTCTCCCTATCTCTACCAGCATGCCCCTCCTCCTCCCTTCTACTCCCAGTATGTCACGACTCTTCCTTTCTACACCCAGTATGCCCCTGCTCCCCTTTTCTACACCCGGTATGCCACCCCTCTCCCTTTCTCTACCAGTATGCCTCTCCTCCCTATTTCTACACCCAATGTTCCACTCCTCTCCCTTTCTCTACCAGTATGCCTCTCCTCCCTATTTCTACACCCAATGTTCCACTCCTCTCCCTTTCTCTACCAGTATGCCTCTCCTCCCTATTTCTACACCCAATGTTCCACTCCTCTCCCTTTCTCTACCAGTATGCCTCTCCTCCCTATTTCTACACCCAATGTTCCACTCCTCTCCCTTTCTCTACCAGTATGCCTCTCCTCCCTATTTCTACACCCAATGTTCCACTCCTCTCCCTTTCTCTACCAGTATGCCTCTCCTCCCTATTTCTACACCCAATGTTCCACTCCTCTCCCTTTCTCTACCAGTATGCCTCTCCTCCCTATTTCTACACCCAATGTTCCACTCCTCTCCCTTTCTCTACCAGTATGCCTCTCCTCCCTATTTCTACACCCAATGTTCCACTCCTCTCCCTTTCTCTACCAGTATGCCTCTCCTCCCTATTTCTACACCCAATGTTCCACTCCTCTCCCTTTCTCTACCAGTATGCCTCTCCTCCCTATTTCTACACCCAATGTTCCACTCCTCTCCCTTTCTCTACCAGTATGCCTCTCCTCCCTATTTCTACACCCAATGTTCCACTCCTCTCCCTTTCTCTACCAGTATGCCTCTCCTCCCTATTTCTACACCCAATGTTCCACTCCTCTCCCTTTCTCTACCAGTATGCCTCTCCTCCCTATTTCTACACCCAATGTTCCACTCCTCTCCCTTTCTCTACCAGTATGCCTCTCCTCCCTATTTCTACACCCAATGTTCCACTCCTCTCCCTTTCTCTACCAGTGTGCTCCTTCTCCCCCCCCCCCTTTCTACACCCAATATTCCACTCCTCTCCCCTTTCTCTACCAGTATGCTCCTCCTCCCAGTGTTGGATGGGTGAGATTTTGGGACTGTATGGTTCTGGCACACGCTGCCCTAAGTAAGGAAATGACAAGCACACAGAGGACACTTTCACATCCCGCTTATTTCTCATTTACAAACAATCAGCTTCAAGTAACAATCAGTTTTGTACAAGAATTTCCCCAGGGATGGCGATGTGATACTCTGTACCCGGTTATAAATACAACAAGTAGAAAATATGTACATTACATATAAATACATTTTCCTGACTTCCAACATTTCCATAGAAAATAAGCTGAAACTTCATTTATACAGCTATGTACATGATATCAGTCAGCCTCTGAATGCCACCTGCCGCCATCTCAGTCCATCCTAATGGGACCCCTGAGGGACACAATAAATCCAAGCAGATGGTAAGGATGATGATGCAAAATGCCGTCTCCCATAGCAACCAGATTTCGCGTTACTGAAGTCAGGGTATTGAAAGACAAGTGGCAGTTAACCCATTCATCGCCTTTCTCCCATGTGGCATAGGTACGAAAAGCATTTGACAAGCAGGGAGCTGGTCTCCTGCCTTCTATAAAATGCTGTTCAGGTAGAAGATCAATCAGCTGCCTCCCCAGCCCTCTTTCACAATATGTTCTCTATGAATGAGTCACACGGGAAAACGTCAGTTCCTCTTCTGAGAGTCGTGCTGTGAAAACACTCTTCTGTCCAATCTTCACTTTCCTCTCGAGCATTACACGGCCAGATACCATATCCGTTGCCTGGAAATGCTTCCAATTGGAGTTATTGACAGAGTACATTACCCAGAACAAATATCATTAAGGCAAAAGTGCCAGGAAAGGGTTAAATTTACCTTTCCACTTACTTACAGAGGGGGCTGTTCAGTGATTTACAAACCTCAGCTCATTGACTTCTACAAGAGAAGGCCGTGTGTAGTCTGAGCTCTTCTCTGAAATCAGTCAATGAAGCCACAGACAGGTTGATCGGAGAGGTAACCCCATGTTCAGTTGGATGAGTATCTATGACACCAGCATGGCCAAGAAGGCCTCATATGTCACACAGCCTTCGTGTCGTCTCTAAGAGTTAAAGTATAAGTCTAGCCTAATGTTTTTTTCTCATTTTAAATAGAATATGGAAGGGTTAAATGTTCTGTCAGGTTAATATTTCTGTCTATGTCCCCATTGAGGAGAAATACAATTACATTCATTCCATTTGGACCATTGCCACTGGAAGAGAAAACAATTGGGAACCCAAAATTCTGTTGTCGCCAGATCGGCAGCAGAGTGGACTTCCTTCTGGCAACCAAGGAGGTGAGGTTTCCTCTCATTTTGGGGACATTTTCATGGAGACACAGACAGCAATAAATACTTGATATAGGTTCTAACCCTTCCTATACTCTCCAGAACGAAAGATGTTTTGGCTAGAGTTTCCATTAATGTGCTGAAGGCCTCTGTGACTTCTTCCTGGAGAACCCCTTCTCCGTGTGGACATGGCTCCCCTGAGACCCATGCTAGGATCAGGGCCAGAGACATATTGTACATAAGAGATCTTTGTCATGGTGCAGCTCCTATCTGGCAGAATGTTCAGAGTGATGGATCAGGGTGAGATGTCCAGCAGAAACAACTGATGGCTGAGAGCGTAGAGGCTGCAAGATCTGCAAAAATCCAGACATGTCGTGCTGTCATGTCCATTATAAAGGCATTACATTTCCATTGCACCAGCAATGTAACCAGAGTAATACTGACAGCAGTCTAGGGTTTCATGTGGGATAATAATAATGGTCATTGTAGCTTCCATGTGATTGGTAAAGTTATAGGTAGATGATGGCACTATTAGAGTCACGTGGAAGGAGAAGGAAGGGTGTCTTCTGTTTAATGTTATGGCTCCTTGTCCTTCCCTCATACAGTCTGGGGGGCAGTTAAACCAAGTGCCCCATAATTTTGATGTTTATCCTAGGTGGCCCATTTTTAGCAGGTGAACCATACCATACCCTTGATGTACGGTCTTGAGGGCCCGGTTATACCAGGAGCCCTCTATCACTGATGTAGAGTCTGGAGGGCCAAGTTTTACCAAGTGGCCAATAACGTTGATGTACTGTATGGAGGGTCAAGTCATATCAAGTGCCCAATTCCATGGATGTACAGTCTGGAGGGCCCAGTTATTCCAGGTTCCCAATGCAATGATGTACAGTCCGAGAGATCCAATTATACCAGGTGCCCCATACCACTGATATACAGTCTGAGGGGCCAAATTATACCAGGTACCCTCTACCATTGATGTACAGTCTTGGTGGCCCAGTTATACCAGGTGCCCTCTACCATTGATGTAGATCCCATTGGTAGTTGGCTTGGCACGTAAAGTCCCATTTTCCTGATAGAAATGCGTCATTCCCTGTTTGATGAACGGTTGATTTTCTATGACTCCAGGGCTGTCCCGCTCATTTTGCTCTAATTCTTTTTCCTCCATCACATCCTGCTCGCTCTCACTCTCCTCCATCACCTCCTCATCCGGTACTGTGGAAAGGAGCTCCGTCTGGGTCTCTGTCTCCCGCACGGTGGTCAGGGTGGAGTAACTGCGCCGATCCACATCTTCTTCCTGCCAGGGGAAATAAATGGGGCTCAGTGTGTATTCAAATGGACAGGCAGAAGAGGAAATAAGTATTATAAGATCATTAAAACTTTGTTCTGTCTGGTGTAATGATGGGAAAATAGGGATTTAGTTGAAAACAGGCCAGTAAGATTTCTGGATAACCTGAGGGGTGAAGGCCAACACTTTCATCTAAATAATCCTCAATGTTAGAGTGAACATTGCCTCGGGGTGGACTGAACAATCTAAATCATGTCTGTATAATACAAAAGTTAAATACAGCTGTACAGTATGGCCTCATTTCATAGTGTGCATCACCCCCTATTGTCCATACAATGTAATTATTATGTCACTGCTTAGATATGGTTTCCTTGTACTAATCGGAGAAGCCGAATATAATTTGCAGGAAATATCTGCTCATGTGGTACGCTGACACCATTCATGTTTAATGTCACAATATACAATAAATGAACTTAAACTCGGGTTGTATACGTTTGCTAAAGAATATGTGTCAGTTAGCTTTGTGTCCACCAGGGGGAGGCATTGCACACACCATATGGTACTATCATAGGAAGTCTTGCAAGGTGTGATTGGGATATCTTTGAAAAGACATTGTGGGGTGAAGACAGAATCCTTACCATGATAGAGCTGATACTGGGGTCTCGCAGGCTGTCAGGGTGATTCCTCATATGGAGACTTTCTTCCAGCTGAAATAGAAGACAGATGACAGCAATTAAGGGTTACACCAGAATTGTTGCTTAGTATGTCATTATCTTTACTGCCTGTAACAATACGGTAGCAATAAAGTAGCTTTTTAGCTAATATTTGAGTAGAGAAGTAAATAAAACATTCCACATGTTTAGAAGGCACATCCAATACATTTTCATAATTTATTGGATTGGAAAACAGTATGAGGTTGAGAAATTTTGGTGACCCAAGTGCCCTTTGTCCTCACCTGCATCCGGGTATCTGTGCTGGCCGAGGTGGATAGTCTTCTCCGTGATGTTTGCCGGGATAATGTAGAAAGTTCCTCGCTGAAAAACATTATTTACTGACAATGAGGCCCAGATAGGATGAGACGTTAGACATTGTCCTGTACGGTGGATATGGGATGGTGGTGGTGGGATAATATGGCTGAAAGGGCCTATACATTCTACACCACCTTGGGAAGAGATCTGGTTATCAGTGGCCAGCAGTGTTTGCCTGAGTTAGAAGCACACAATGGTGCGCAATTACTGTCGTGTAGAAGGACCGAGATCCCCAGATCCCCTGCCTCCATCACAACAATCATCTAGAATAATCAGAATGTCCCAAAATCTATCTGTACGAGTCTACCACCTTATTTGCATGATGGGAACCTGCCCTTGCCATCTGCCACTTGGCTGCATAATGTTGTGAAAGTGGAAGGGGAGGTGAAGTCCTTGCCCTGAATTGTAGAAAGGGAGGTAGGGCCCCTGTCCCTGGATAATAGGAGGGGAGGTAAGGTCCTTGTCCCTGAATTGTAGAAGGGGAGGTAAGGCCCCTGTCCCAGTATGGTAAAAAGGAAGGTAAGGCCCTTGTCCTTGGATGGTAAAGGGGGAGGTAAGGCCCCTGTCCCTGAATTGTAGAAGGGAAGGTAAGGCCCTTATCATTGGATGGTAAAAGGGAAGGTAAGGCCCCTGTCCTTGGTTGGTAAAAATGGAGGTAAGGCCCCTGTGCTTGGATGGTAGAAGGGGAGGCAAGACTCCTGTCTCTGGAACGGTAGCAGGGAAGATAAGGCCCCTTTGCTTGGACTGTAGAAGGGGAGGTAAGGCCCCTGTGCTTGGACGGTAGAAGGGGAGGTAAGGTCCCTGTCCCTGGATTGTAAAAGGGAAGGTTAGGCCGCTGCACTTTTATGGTAAAAGGAGGGGTAAGGCCCCTGTCCTTGGAAGGTAGAAGGGGAGGTAAGGCCCTTGTCTCTGGACGGTAGAAGGGAGGAGGTGAAGTAAGGCCCCTGTCCCTGGATGGTAGAAGGTGGGGTTAGGCCCCTGTTCCTGGAACTTACATTTTCTCGGAGAGTCTCTTTGTCTTCCTCTTATGATGGCGATTCACCAGAACAACCGTTATCACTAGGATCACCAGCAGGATGGCCGTCACCACAGCCACCGACACCAGTGACACGGACATCAGGTCCACCTTTCTGGGTTCATTCTCTGTGGATGGAAGGAGAGATAATGATGACCCATGATGTGATATGGATGAAGAAGGGTGATGATGACCCATGATGTGGTATGGAGGACAAGGCATAGTGACCCACAATGTGATATGGAGAAAAAGGATTATGACGATCCATGTTGTGATATGGAGGAAAAGGGATGATGAGGACCCATTATGTGGTATGGAGGACAGGACATGATGACCCACAATATGATGTGGAGGAAAAGGTTTATGATGACCAATGATGTGATATGGAGGAAGAGGGATGATGAGGCCCCATGATGTGGTATGGAGGACAAAGCATGATGACCCACAATGTGATATGAAAGAAGAAGGTTTATGATGACCCATGATGTGATATGGAGGACAAGGGATGATGATAATGACCCATGATGTGGTATGGAGGACATGGGATGATGATGATGACCCATGATGTGATATGGAGGACACATGGGATGATGATAATGACCCGTGATGTGATATGGATGACATGGGATAATGATGATGACCCATGATGTGATATGGAGGACATGGGATGATGATAATGACCCGTGATGTGATATGGAGGACATGGGATGATGATAATGACCCATGATGTAATATGGAGGACATGGGATGATGATGATGACCCATGATGTGACATGGAGGACATGGGATGATGATGATGACCCATGATGTGATATGGAGGACATGGGATGATGATGATGACCCATGATGTGACATGGAGGACATGGGATGATGATGATGACCCATGATGTGATATGGAGGAAGAGGACTCGCTCTGAACAATTGTTGGAAGGTCATGGAGTGACTGCCATCCTTACTGCCATCTCCACCAGGACCTGCCCAATGTGTCACTCTTATACCCCGACGGGTGTACACTATGAAGGACCCATCGGAGGAGGGTGACACCATTGTTTGGTTCTGCATTGGCTGCCATAGTTGGACAGACGAGGGAGTTCTGGAGGACACATGCTGACACGCCGATAGCTAAGCTCTGGAGATATCAGTTGTGTGCAGGGTTGGTGTACTGTTGGAGGTAGGTAGGTCTGGCAGTGTGGTGAGGTGAGTTCAGACATTTTGAGGACATTTGGGGATGTTTGTCTCACTCATATCGGGTAATTGGTGCTGTCTGAGGTTCTAATCCTCCATCAGGTGGGCAGAGAAGACTTTCATGTCTCTCTAATTCCAGCTTTTCATGTACACTTCACTTTGAAGTTCCCTCCCCACCCCGACCACACCTCACCCACTGGGCCCAAATCCGGCCTCTCTGTGATGCTGCGCAGAGAACGTCCTAATGAACTGTACACAATGTATACAACGTACAGGACTGAGCCCACAGAATGAGAATCACTAGAAGAGCCGCACAGACACTGAACACAGCTCAGACTGGGCAATCATCCCGCACATGGACACTACGATTTATAACATGGACTACAATCCTACAAAGAGAGCGTAACTGCGTACAATGCACACATACACACACTACACACTCTGCACACATACTACACACTCTGCACACATACACACTGTACACACTCTACACATACACTCTGCACACATACTACACACACTACACACACATACACTCTGCACACATACTACACACCGTACACACGCTGTACACACTCTACACATACACTCTGCACATATACTACACACACTACACACACTGTACACACTCTGTACACACACACTCTACATGCAAACACTGCACACACACACACTCTGCACACACAGGCCGTGCACAAACACACACTGTACATGCACACTGCACACATGGTGCACAAACACACACACATTGCACACACATACTGTGCACACAAGCTGCTCAGTCCATTTATACACATTACACGCACACACTCCACATACTCTACACACACTGTGCAAACGCATTGCACACACATGCTGCACACATACACACTCCGCGCACTATGCACACACTGCCCACACATTGCACATAAACACTGCACACACACATACTGCAAACACACTCTGCACACACACACACTCCATACACATACTGTGCACACACACTCCATACACATTGCACACAAGAAGTGATTTGAGTGATGATGTGGGCACGTCTTATGTGTATATATATATATATATAGGTCCCCCCCATTCCCCCGGGCCATATACAGGGAGAAGAACAGCCTCGTGTATACTGACCAGCTATATAGATGCTGACGCTGACTTGTCTGCTGCCCACGTCATTGGATGCCTGGCAGGTGTAGCGACCGGCCTCCTCCGCGCTCAGGGGCCCCGCAAACACCAATTTGTTCCCATCCAAAGTCACCTCCTTGGGAAGAGATCCGTTCTCCCTGCGAAGACAAAATCAGAAAGCTGAGTGATACTCCAACCGGATATAAAAGTATATTTCTCCCTATCCATGTACTTGTAGTGTATACCCGACCCTGTGCTTCATCGTTCCCCATGTTATGTGTCTGTGTGAATCTCTCCATCTTCAGAGAGAACCACAATGTCCAGAATTGGATGTAGCATGGGAACGGCCCATGTAGTGGCAGGAACATGTACACATGGAGCTCCACATTGACTTTCTACAAGTACACCTATTTCCAGCAACCTGAAAGAGATCCCTTTCCTAGGACAGTCGTGTCACTGGATCCACTACATGCAGGAGGGAGTCTCATGAAAGGTGTGACAGTTTATTGCTAAGGTTGTTGTATTCTAGGTTGAGTTTTTAGGGTTGTATGACAGGTGCTCTTTAAATGTTGAGCAGCCCTCCATTGAGGTGAATGTGGGTGGGGCATCCTTGGCTAATCTAGTATGAATATTCTGTTGGATCTTCCGGATTGTCTGTATAGGGGGGAGTGGAGTATACGCTGTTGTGGGGTGACCGTTGTCCTATGGG